GCCGGGCTCTGGGGCACGGAGCGGGTCGAGAGCAAACGGGCTCGCGGCCCCCGCGCCCCGCGCCGGCGGCTCCGCTGCTCGAGGTGCCCCTGCAACAGTTGTGCTGGCTCCTGCGCGGCCCCGCTTTACTAAACCCCGGGAAGTCTTACTGGGGCGGCGGAGGCTTCAAAACAAAACCGCGCAGGAAAGCATCGCTGTTTCTATAACAACCCCGCGCTCTTTCCCACTGGGATTATCTCCCCTTTGTAAACCCGGGCCGCTCCTGCCCCACAAACGCACTGGCCCTTTGCGCTGCAACAGCCCGGGGGTTGGGCAAGAGGGAAAATTAAAGCCAAAAAAAAAAAAAAAAAAAATGGGGGGGAAACTCTCTAAAAGAGAAGTTTGTTAAATAATTTATTGATTTATACAAAGTCTTTCCAACCGCCATGGAGACAGCAATACTTCAAATCCAATTTAAAATCAGTAGCCACTTCTCTCTCTCTCTCCCGCTGTAGTTTTTTTGGTTGTTGTTGGGTTGTTTCTTTTTAAATGTAATTGAGCATCAGATCCATAGAAGAAATAAAACCGCCAGAACACTGAATAAAAGAGGAGGGGTGAAATAAAAACAGCCATTTTTACACTAGAAATATACATCACAAAATCTGAACTTTACTATATACAAAGTGGCTGAGCTGGAGTCGGCGATCCATACAAAACGGTAACAAAATCTGATTGTTAGGAGCAGGACATCGGCAGAAAGGAGAAAAGAAAGGGGGAGACTATTAAGCAAAACAAAAGGGAAAGTTGGAAAGATTCCTCTGTAATTTACATCAATGAGAAGGAAGATAATTTCATAACTTATTCTGTAAAAAATATATACATTTCACATACATCTTAGGCTGTACAACACATCACTTTAAACATCCAGTTACAATTCTTCTTTATAATGTTTTATACCCTGGTTATTTCAGCTTCTCTAAAGCGCCTTGGGGAGCAGTCAGTCTCGCGGGCCAGCGGCTCTCGCCCTGTATCACAACGTGTCCGAGTTGGTGCTGCAGGGGCTGATGAGGGCTAAGTTTGTGGATTTGTGCTTTTTCAATAACCTCGTGATTTTCTCATCGTCTGAGTTGGGGTCCAGAGGTTTGTTATATTCGTCATCGTCCTCATTGTCCGAGCTCTCCTTCAGCTTCTCAGTCTCTGAATCGTGTTTCTTCTTAGCCGAGGCCATTTCTGCTGCGTGCCTCTTCCTCCACTTCGTCCTCCTGTTCTGGAACCACACCTGTTGGGACCGGCAGAAGACGGGGAAGCCCCTTAGCTGTGAACGGCACCTGCCCTCCCCTTCCTTACACCCAGCACCCTTCGTTTCTCTTGCCCTCTGCAACTGTTGCTTGTCCTGGGTTACTCCTGTTTGCAAAAGGGAAGCTGGGTGCAAGCTTAAGCAGGCCTTTCACCTTCATGCATTCAGTAGCAATCCGGCAGGCTCCTGTTAGCCCTAATAAAATTCACTGTCTATGACCGCCACTTTTAACTATTAACAGTAACGTGAGCCAGCCAGCACCACGCAGAGGATTACAGACTGGCTCAACTGCAAGAGAAGAGCTGGAGAGAAAGGTTTTGTTTGGGGCAGTTGTGCTCCCTTCCCCGTGACATAGCCGATTCAAACGCATCTTTTCTGTCTAACAACGTAAGGAGGGAAAATTACAATAACGTGCCAGTGCTGTGTCCCACTCCTGGCTCTTTTTACATTTTTTTTTTGCATTGAGAAGAATATAGATAGAATTAACTGTTGCTCAAATTAAATGTTGATAGCATTGGAAAACTGTATTGGTCCCTAGCATGAAATGGCCTAGTCAAAAAAAGACTTAGTCTAACTCATAAAATTGTATGTAACAGTGTGTACAACATACAGTACAACTAGAAACATTTCCCAGTGTTTCTTGTGGTTAAAGAAAAATTACACTCAGAGTAACCGCACACAGGGAACTCACTGGAGTACTGATAAATATGAAACCATTTCACCTGAGTAGGGTTTTTTGCACTAACTTGCAATCTAGGGACTCGCTTTGTTAAAGATAAGGTGAAACTACTTAAAAAGAAAAAAAGGAGAAATATATGAAATGCACCTAATTTTAAGAAGGAATAGCCGTAAATTCCCCCTGGACTTTTGTTTAATACTGTATTGGCGATATTTTAAACTAAGAGTGAAAAGCTGTTGTGTTGTCCAGAAAACAGAGACTATCACTCTTGTGAGCTGAAGAGCGTGGGCATTTCAGTGCTATGTCCCGTCCCAACGTGGGAGCCTAAACCCCCGGAGAAGCAGCAGCTCTGCTCCAGCCCGGGCCCGATTCCCTTTCCGCGCCTGCGAGCGTTGTCCTGTAGTGCGGACAGGGCTCTTGCTGCGGTAGAAAGCGCCTTACCTTGACTTGACTTTCTGTCATTCCTAACGAGTAGGCGAGACGAGCTCTCTCTGGGCCTGCCAAGTATTTCGTTTGTTCAAAGGTTTTCTCCAAAGCAAAAATCTGCTGCCCTGAGAAAGTTGGTCGTGAATGTTTCTTCTTTCCGTCTTTGTCCAGAACCATTCCCGTCTGGGCTGAAAACATAGGACAACATATCTCCGTCACTCACGAGCTTTTGCATGTAAACTTAGGGCCAAAATCTGCTCGCCCTCGAGAGCGAGGAGCAGCTCGGGTTCCGCGCAGTGACTCCGGAGGTGGGACCAGATTTTAGCCTTGGAAGTTTAAAAGCAGCCCAGAGCTGCTGAAGCCGCATCCAAATGCAAGCAAGAGTGTCATCAGGTCGGATTGCGGCGTTTCAGTCCATCCTAGCGCCCAGTGCTGGGCTACGGGACCGTGACTCACGTACCACCACATGGCCTGTGTTTTACGGCCCCGGGGTCGGCTGCAGACACGCGCTTACATCCATTGTTTTCTGGAAAAGCTTCCCCGCACCCGCACCCCCAAGGAGACCCTTCTGATAGCTCCAGAGAGATGGACTTTATCCCCAGCAATCATGTCCCGCAGCCAGGCATTAAACTATGACTGGGGGGGTGGATTTCAAAATTATTTTTTTACTTCAGGGATCTTGATAAAGTCTAAACGTAGGGTAGAAATAAGGAAACGACCGCCCCCTCCCCCTTTCCCCGGCTACAAGCAGATGTGAGCTCACTTACCAGGACAGGCGAGTCGGGGATCTCTCCAGGGAGAGCCCTGCATAACGCCCGGCCAGAATATGGGAGGTCGCCCAGGCAGCTCCGCCAAGGGCTTTGGGTACCTGGACACAGCTGCTGGGTTAAAATACATCCCTGCTGAGGTAGCCAGTCCATTAATCCGGGGCAGCCCGCTAAGGAGGTTACTGGCAGCTCCAACAGGTCTCCCCAGGATATCGCTTATTCCGTGCGGCGTCCCCAAGGGGATCTGTGTGTTCAGGCCGCCGAGGGTCGGTGTCTTGAAGCTGGAGGGATTCTGCAGGGTGTAGGGGAACAGAGACGTCTTCATTTCAGCCATGTTATGCAGAGCAGCCAGCGGCGTACTGCTCAGCACGAATGCACTCTGGCGATTAGTATCCATCTGCCCCACCGCTAACATTTGTGAGCATCAATAAATACTTCTTTTAAAACGAGCCAGCTGCTGTATTCTTAAACCCACAGGAGACGCGCGCCAGGGACGGGCTCTTTAGTCTTTTTTTTTTTCTTTCTGCTTTCAAGATTCAAAGTAGCAAAGTTTGTGCGGAGTAGCGAAGCAATCGCCTCTGCTCTGCCAGGACCTGCGACAACAGCAACGCACGCGTTAAAGTTTCAGTCTGTGGCTAAAAAAAAAAAAAAAAAAAAAAAAAAAAAAAAAAAAAAAAAAAA